AATATATATATATATATATATATATATATATATATATATATATATATATATATATATATATATATATATATATATATATATATATATATTGGCATCCAAAAATTTAATTTTTAAATAATGGGTATTAAATTCAATATTAGATTTTATTATAAAGATTTATATGATATTATCATTAAATTTTAATACATTTTCTAAAATACACTCGTGTGCAGTTTAGCAAAACACTCTGTCCTTCAATTACAGATCAGCACGTGTCAAATATTTCTTTAAATATTTTAATATTGTGGACCTATTAATTTGCATGTTTTTTTTCAAAATGTATTTTTAATTTTTTTCCTTAAAAACCTCTATTTTTATGGAGTGAACCAATTATATTGTTTCTACGTATAATTAAATTTACATTTCGATAGATCACCAAATGTTATCTTGCCTTGTTGACCTTCATCAAACCTTGCGGAGAACTTTGTTTATGCATAACTTTATATCCTTTCTCATTCAAATAAATAAGTTGTAACAAACTCAACCGAATAATAATTGACTACCTAACTGTTATTTGTGATGTTTATGGATAGGATTGGACCGGTTCACTTGTGACTACGTAACTTTGTCCTTTCTCATTAAAATGTGAAATATTTATTTTCAAATGTTGAATAACCGTTCAATTTCAATAATTATTTAAAAAAATTAAGTTTCATAGACTTAAATTTCTATTTTTAATAAAAAAAATATATAAACAAAAAATAATTTTTTTAAATTTATTTGAACTTAACTCGACTGAAATAGGTAGATAATCCAACCCAAACAGTATAAATTAGATTGGGTTGATTACTGTTCGAGTCACTTAGCTTTCTAAACGCACTACCTTACAATGTATTGTTTTAAAAGAATCTAACGATCTCTCATCCAAGTATATCAATCTAAATCTCCCTTTTATATATATATACACACACACATAATAACAAGTGATTGTATGTTTGTAAATTAATAAATTGTTCGAACAGCATAATAATATTTTGAGTTTGAAGGGACTTAAGTCATATAACTTACCGCTTCTAAGAAGGAAGATTATCCGCATAGAACAACGTGGGTCACTTCTGCATGTTGTCCTTGCTTACATGCTTCTTAGGGAAATCTCTAGGGGGTCACCCAACTGAGTATTGCTTCAAGAAAAACATGCTCGACTTTAGAGTTTCTATGATTGAGTAATCAAAAAAGAAAATGCATTTTATTAGTATAGGTAGTAACTTTCAATTTTCTAAATCTTTCCTAGTCATCCTATGCTTAGGATTGCTCTAGTTCAGATGTGAGCCAAGTTCATTCATGTACCTCTCCATTACTTTGGGGTCACAGTATCACCCTTAAATAATCATCAACATGAATATAATTCAACTGGTTAAGACAGATGCCCCTAAGTAAGAGGTTGACTATCTCATTATACAAATTTGTGAAGGTTCCTAGAAATATAATGTATAACTACCCTAGATTTTTAGTAACTGGGTGATGTGCTAACGAGAAGGCTAAGCCTCAAGGGAGGTGGACACGAGGCAGTGTGCCAACGAGAAGGCTAAGCCTCAAGGGGGGTGGACACAAGGCAGTGTGCCAGCAAGGAGGCTGGGTCCCGAAGGGAGTAGATTGGGAGGTCCCACATCAATTGGAGATGGGAACGAGTGCCAGCGAGGACGTTGAGTCCTGAAAAGATTGTGAGATCTCACATCGGTTGGGGAAGAGAATAAGCATTTCTTATAAAGTTGTGAAAACCTATCCCTGGCAAACGTATTTTAAAACCTTCAAAGAAAGCTTAAGAAAAAATGTCTAAAGAAGACAATATCGACTAGCATGGGCTTGACCTGTTACATGTCTCAATAAATAAAGTTATATATAATGATTAGATAATGAAATGTGAAGTCCCCAAACACAGATATAAAACAAATAGAAAAGAAAAAGAAGTTGCCGTCCAATCAGATTATGTTTTTCAAATCGGATCTCAGAGAAACTTATCATAATATTCAAATGAATACACAACAAAATCAGGTAAGAGATTAAATTAGAAGAAAATAGAATTACAATTTATATTCATTTAAACACTAAATATATTATACCATACAGTGCCTAAGAAAAAGGTCGGCCTCGATTTCGTCTTTATTGTTTTTAAATCATCGATTTATAGAAATATATCTAACCTGAAATTAACCATAACGAAAATGCAATTAATTTACGTGTTCGTAAAAGTTTTAAAATATAATAATAATTTAATTTATTGTTGTTAATCTAACTGGTTCTGAATAATTGAAATTTAATCTAAAATATGAAGCTTACAACAAACGAAAATGTTTTTTCGTGTTGAATTGGTCTGATTAAAGTTATAAATGAATTATTATTATTATTATATATTATATTAGATTAAAACTATTTTATTATTATAAAATTAACATTAATCACTTTTTTTTATTTAACTAAAACATTTTATTAATAAATTAATGTGTTCTAAAAAAAATTTAAAGACCAAATATATGGTAGCAAACTTAAATGATAAAATGTAACTAATAATCTATAAATTTGGCCTAAATTCACCCGCCAAAGTTTATCTACTAAAGAGAAGTTTACACACTTTCATAAAAAATCTTTCGTTCCTTTCCCCAACCAATATGGTATCTCACACTTTGGATTCCTAAAACTCTAAACCAAAGATGGACTAGGCTTAAAACAGTGAACCAAAGACCCCTAAAGGGTTAAAATGATTCTTTTATATTTAAATTTAAAGGCCCATTAGTTTAATGGGGACCTCATCCAGTTTCTTGAGGTCCAAACAAAACACAAAGGTTATAGCAAGAAAAGGGTAAGAGAAAAAAGGGGGCACACACTAGAAACAAGTATAATAACCTTACTTGTGGTGGTGGTTGGAGTTGTGTCGATGCATGCCAACTCTGTCGCCTCTAGTGCCAACCACATGCAGGCCGACCGTCCATCACCACATCGCCTGCCTGCCTAATAACACAATCCAATCCACACGCACACAAAAGCACTAGACAAGTCAGCTTTATACATTCTATTCTATATCTATTCTCCTTCCATTCTAATCGACAACAAATATAAGCCCTGATTGTGCTCTGGTAACAAGAAGGACAACATCCGCAGACATGCACTTTCCTATCAAATCATGGCATTACAAAATGTGACACTCACCCCAGTATTCACTTTCTCAACATCCTGCCTTAAGGAGAGTTTTAAAAGCCTATCAGATGGGGCTTAAAGTTGTTGAGAGGAGCATCAACTTCTTAGTGCTCTTCCACCTGTGCTAAAAGGCTAACCAAAGCAACCCATAGAACATCAACATATTAGGTTCTTGTGCACACAATATTGCCACCATTGGCGAATCAGTTTCTAACTTCAAGTTCAACCATAATTTGTGTCGTTGAATTTCTATTGGTACACTCCCCTTTACCCACAAATCAAAATATCATCATACATGCCGTTAAGTTTTGATGTTCCTGAAAACAATGCTTTGACAAATTCCCGTATGTTCCTGAAGACAATAACAGTTTGCACTCAGTAAAAGTGGGGGAAATATGGAGATAGACGTTTCTGGAGTTGTTTCTGTAAAGGGTAGAAAAAAAAAAATACAATATCGAGATATAGTCCTCTATACAAACAACCCATAAGTTGGGGAACAGAGTTTGACCAAGATTTTTTCTTTTTTTTTTTTCTTTTTTCTTCCCTAAATGAAAAAGGCCAAAATAAATAAAAGCTCATCTCCTGAGAAAAGGCAACAAGGATTGAAGAAAGTAGGACAATAAGTCTCGTCCGATACAAAGGTTTTTGGAACTGTAACAAAAAA